GCCCAAAAGCTCCCTGTTAAAAGACAACCCATAATCTTCCTTCTTGAATTTGGATTCAACTTCTATGTATGAGTCCTAAAATAATATCCACTACCATAAGAGGTTACTGAAGTTTAAATTATATACCCAACTGAAAACGCTTGGAGAAGACAAACTGTCAACACAAATTCAAAGGCTTCTAATTCTCAGCGAGACACAGAGGGAGCAGCAGATTAGTGCTTTGTCATTTATAGCACTGTTTGTAACGTACTCTTCTCATTTCCTTCATCTTATACTCCCGAGGCCTGGCCTGAAACCCACTGAAGCTGAGTGGAGCCTTTCCGCTTACTTCACCCTATTTTGCATCAAACCTTCACACAGTGCAGCTGATAGAGAGTGTAACCACGTCCGCATTCTGACTGGAGCCAGTTTATTTGATAAATAATTAGCCTGCAGCTTCTCGTCGAAATCTGGAACTACTTTAAACTAAAACTGCAGCAGTTAATGGTTGATTCTGCTTTTAACTGGTTTTGAATGCTAAAAAACACACTGGGACGTTTTAATGAAGGCTATTCCATGAATAGAGGATGTTCTTGCCAAAGCTCTGCACCAGATAACTGAGCAATCTTCGTTTCCTTTTTCCTCTAAAGTGGGACTCCCACACGCCACCACTGTAAACATAGAGCTTGCCTCCATAAACATGATTTTTGATGTTTAGCACAGCAAGGAGTCATACTGTAGAGCATTTAAAGTGCAGCGAGCTTCTCACGTTCTGAGTAACAGCCTTAAAAACAGCTGCTTATGGACAATACCAGATGGATATTAGGTATTACCGCAGTCACTGGGCAACGATTATACTTCTTCGTAAAGAAGCTCAGCTTTATACCATCCAGTAGGGTTGGTGCCATTTAATTCGCTGCCCTAAGCCATCATAGCTGCTTTTTCATAAATTAGAACAGAAGATGGATTAGTTAAAATCAATTTATTACAGAACACAGAACAGCATCAGCCAAAACAAAACAAACTGCTTTAAGTATTTGTGCAGCGGTACTTTCTACTAAAGAAATACTCCTGAAGCATCCAAAACCCGTTCTGTTTGCAAAGATCTCCGAGTAAAACACATCTGAGAGCAGCTCTGCATTTCAGCATCTTGGTACCGAGCAGCACGTACCTCCGTGAACATGCCCAGCTGCCTTTGTGTGACTACACAGCGCAGCATCATGACAGCGTCAGCCCTCTGCACCAACTGACAGGGTGAGCACTCTGGTTTGTTATTTCTGTGACTACCATAATCAGTGATTTCCTGTGGATTTCATCAAAGTTCTTCATCTTGTTTCCGAGCCCACATCATTCCCTCAGATGGTTAGCTTGCTTTCACAGCTCAGAGCTTCCCCGCCTGGTCAGCTGCACTTCACAAATTGCTCTCTCTTACAGCTACAAGATACCAGGAAATAGTGATAACTTCTACTGTATGTATTCACTTTTATAAAAACCCTGGGTTTCATTCTATATGAACCACTAGATCTATATAGACAAAGTGCATTTGCAACAACTGCTTTCTAACTCTAAAAACAGGGAAAGTTTTTCCAGTTTGAAATTAATGCCGATAATATTTGGATATTTTGTATCTGAAAAAGGAAACAGAGTATATTAATTTCTATTCACCAGTCTGCTGTTTGGAATATTTTCGCATCATCTAACTGGGTTACAAAGAAGGCAATGTCCTGGGAGACTTGACTGGTGCATTTGTCTGAGAAATTCCATAAGCATGTGCTGCCATGATTATTTTTCACTGCTTTCAACACCGATCTTGCACTGCAGATGCCCCCATTCAAGATTTGCAAGATCTGCAAGAAATACTTATAAAAAGAGGAACTAATATCTCTATGGACAGAATGTCAAAATGCTTGTATTTTCCCTCTTTTTTTTTTTTTTTTTTTTGTTTTTTTTTTTGGTTGCAGTTCATGGTCCCCTTTCTTCCCCCTCTGTAAGAGAACTGAAAAAGAGTTAGGAGTTCAGGTTTGGTTTGGATAAAATCCTGAAATGTGGATGTGTCTCTGAATTACCTCATCGTCTCGGTTTGAGCCCTTAGCTGAACTTTGTCCTAAAATCTACCTCCAACAAAACAGTGAGGAGTTTAGCATAAGCTTAAAAAGCATGGAATCAAAATTTACCTTGGTATAAATCCACTGAAAACAAAATACCTATTTATATTATTAATTATATGTAATTGACCTTTTGGAATTCACTTGTCCCCCCATTAGTTTAAATGATGGCTTCACAAGTCCTTGCGCCTGCCGAGCGGGCAGCCTCATTCATCTCACATAATCTTACAGTACCAACTCTGAAATAAAGTTACCTCCCTAAATAAGTGCTTAGGGTTCACCTGTGCATTTCGTTTAGTGAAACTTTGTCTGGCAATACATCGGCCCATGGAAAAAAGAATCTCTTAAACCTGAATCACCGAGCGCAGTACTTCCACAGCCTGGCAAAGGCTTTGTTCCAAACCCCGCAGAGATCCACGGTGGGCGAGTGGGCTGGGGTGAAACGGCAGCTCAAGCCCACAGCAAGCAGGTGAGCACCGGGCACCGGCAGGCCCATGTGCTTCCTTGTGAACGTCAGCCCCACCACCCTTTTCCCTCCGAGCTACCAACGGATTTCTGAACACGCAGCAGCCCGGGCCGCCAAGCGCTGGAAATCTCAGGCCGTACATTCTAACTGCTGGCTTACCACTGCTGGTAAATCAGCCACAGCTCGGGCACGAAATTGCCTTGTGCTAGGCGGATTCAAAACACAACAAACCACACTTCATCTCCTCTCCCTACCCTGGGCCTGCCGCTTGAAAAGAGCTGTGCATCAAAACTGTATTTGAAACGGTGAAAGGTGCAGGAGTCCCCCTTCCTGAGAAAGCAGGTGTGTACAAAACCCACAGCATTTGACAGCACATTTCTCCAGAGTTAATAACCAAAGTAATGACAGAGCACGCAGCCTCAGCTTCCGAGAGGCCGGTTGGGCTGAAATGCTTATATGCTGTAGGGTCAGCACAAGGAAAAGCTTTTGGCAGTGCTGCCTCTAACTAACCTCTATCCTTCGGGACTTCAGTAGATGGCACTGTCACATCAACTGGGTTACAGGAAAGGAACGATGTACAGATTATATTTTCACACATAATATATGCTTTTCTTCAAACAATCTACCTGTTTTTTTTTTTTTCTCTAGATGATATCTGGTTACATCTATTTGATTCTTCAGGGTAATAAACCAACTATTTAAAATACATACAATAGAACAGCTGACCACTGAGCAATATGTTGACATCTTTTCAATTTGGTAGTATGGAGAAGGACTAAATCCCTGGAAAACCAAAATGTTCATCACCTTTTATTATTTTTTTTTTAACTTTTTTTTTTTTTTTAATAGTTACATAATTCTCTTTTCAGCTGTGAACTGCTCTGATTTCTGTTACATTTCAGTAGATTCTTTTTTTTTTTTTTTCCTATTCTCAGTCTTCTTTATATCATTAGACAAGGGACTTTCTGGGATGGTTATAAGGGGGAGGGCAGGAAGGTCTCCCCTCCAAATTTTGAAAGTAACACCTTTTAAAAAGCATGTTCAATGTCTCTATGCATCTGGTCTGGCACTTACGTTTTTACCTGTGTTTCCCACGTAGGTGAGATCAACACTGTCTTAAACTGACGTTACACTTGCCAAATTCATAAATTATCAAAGAATTGTAGCCCTTGGTGAGACCACAATCCCTTAGGGGAAAACAGTGTTAGCTAATCCTGAACCAAACTTACTTTCTTGGCAAATGTCTCCTGTAGCTATTGTTTTTTGTGGTTTTGTTTTGTTTTGCTTTTGTTTTTTTTTTTTTCTGCTAAATTTTATGAGAACACTGGCACATCAGCCAGAAATTCTGTCCAGCATCTGGATTATATAGTCAACCACAGGAAAACTGGTAGAGGGGCAACAGATTTTTCTTCTGTTGTATAGTCCTGTCGGGATCACTGTCATCTTAGTAGGTGGATTTAGACTAATTTCCCATTACTTGATCTCTGCTGACATGCCGGGGCTTTTGCCTAGGAATCTGTAAACCCTGCTGATTTTCCTTGGTAATCAAACGATTGCCCGTTTCTCCCTATTCACCAGTGACTTGGCTTTGCATTTGGAACAATTTCCTAACAAAGCAGCATGTGGACCTTTTGGGATAGGGGAAAAAAAAAAATGGCATTCATTTAAATTAACTCTTCTTTTCTCCATATATGAAAAATCTGGACACAGCCACGTTCTGAGTATCGGCTAGAAGGATGCTGAATCTGCAGTGAAACTCTCACTACCAGAGACCCCATCTGTATGCTGGGCAACAGATCCACCAGCTTTTCTAGGAAATCTGTGGAATCTGGGTCAAGAATCTGCAAATCAACAAATTGTTCCGTTTCTCTAATATTACCCTCGCAGACGCTTTGGATACTTGCAAAGCTGTAGTTTCCAGGATGCAGCTTTCCAGTACACGGCTGAAGAGCGGCAGGATGATCACTACGGCTCGTGCCCTCCTTTCTTTACTTCTTTCTTTCAATTTATTCTAGCATTAAGTCCAAACTTTAAGAATGATGTAAAAATCGGAGGCTTTAAATGGAATATTTGTGATGCAGAATAGCCAGATGTTTTCTACAACATCGCAGAACAAGGATGTCGAATGACCTAAAGAAGGGCTTGTGTGTTCAGAAGCTTACATCTTTGGCTTAATCATTTTAATCGGTCTACTCCAAAATATCGCCTCGCCAGATATTTTGCTTCATTGGTCGTTAGTAGTATAATTACAGAATTTAAAACGCTTTAAGACGGGATTGTCATTTTAACAAGCAGTGTCGTTTTAGGGCTAAAAAAAAAAAGATCATATGAAGAGCTTATAAAAGAATCGATTAAGCGCCTTTGTGATTCTGTAGGTCTTTGCCTTTCTAGGCCCCTCACGAACACGCCTTTCAGACTGGTCACCAGCAAGGGGCGATGGCCAGTGCTCAGCAGGAGCCTCGGGCCGCCCTACAGAGCCCTCATTCACGCGCGGGGAGCTGCCCACCCGTGTTCGAAAGCGCAGAGGTCACACGGAGCCTCGCCTCCTTTCAGAGCCGCCCCGAGAAACGCGACCCGAGTTTTCAGCGGAAACCGCAAGGCTCCGTTTTTTGTTTTGTTTTTTTTTTTTTTTTTTCTCACGGCGAAAACGAGGAGCCCCTGCGAGCCTCCTCCAGCACCACGGCCGTGGCGGGGGGGAAGGAGGAGGAGGAGGAGGAAGGAGGAAGGAGGGGGGCGGCGGCGGGCCCGGGGCTGGTCACCGGCAGCCGCTCCTGGCCCTGCTGACGTGGTGCCAGGGCCGGGGCTCGTTTCGGCGGGGAGAGGAGCTGGGAGAGGCTGGCAGGGCCCCGGCCCTCGCCCCGCCGCCCCCGGGCCTCGGAGAAGCTGAGGGAGCCGAGAGGGATGGCGGGGGGCGAGGGGGCGGCGGCCGCCCTCCGCCTGCTCGGGGCACTGTGCCTCGCCGCCGGCATCCAGCCGGTGCGCGGGAGGGACGCGGGAGCGGGCTGGACCCTCGAGAAGGTGGGTTGGCGGTCGCGGTTCCGAGGCTCCCCCCCCCGCGCTTCTCCGCCCCGCCGTGGGCTTGGAGGCAGGGATCCGCGGGCGGGAGGTGAGGGCGGGCACCCCGGCGGAGCGCCGCTGCGCCCCCCCCCCCCCGCCCCGCCGCCGGGAAACCCGCCACCGGGGCTCGGGGGGGGGGGGTGGGGGTCCCCCGGGACCTCCAGAGGAGTCGGTCACCGGCCCACACCGGTCGCGCTGCGGGGAAGCGCAGGTGGGGGGGGGGGGGGGGGGGAAACGTGGGTCCCCGCTCGCCCCCAGCTCACGGCTGCGGAGGGGAAGGAGACTTCAGGAGTGTGTGGGGTGCGAATTTAAGGGCAAACCCAAACAGGCCAGGAGGGATCAAGCCGTGTAAACACCCTGGCGTGGGTCCCTTTCTCGACGGGATGACGGTGATTCAGAGGGGACACAGTCTGAGAACACAGATAGCTCTTCCAGCAGTGATGTACATTTAGCTAGGCAAAACAAGCAGGAACGGTGTTGACAGCTACTGCAGAATTGTTTCGAAAGAATAAGATCTACAAATAAAATATCTAACATGGCGTAGAGCCATACTGTATTGTTTTTAATTCAAGGTGTTGCGTGAACTAGTGAAAAAAGCTTTTATCGTTTAACGAAATATTAATTTTATGTTTAATGAAACCGTAATAAGCAGTAAACCTCTGTTTTCTCTGTATAGCAACTCATGAGTGGTCGATTAAGAAACGCTAACACAGTTTCTTTGTGAAGAACTAAACCAAATAGAACATGGTAGAGCGTACAGCTGCACAGTATGTCAGTTAAAGGGTTCGGGTATTTCCAAATGGAAAATACACTTCTAAGGCCCATCCCCAGGTGTCTGCGGAAGAGCTGAACTCACAGTTCAGCCAGAACTGCCTGAGCTTCCCTAATCCAGCGAACCCTTCACCAACAGGTCTGAGTCCAGGACAAACTGGCAAGATGAAGCTTCCGTCATATCTTTCTACTCACTTCCCCTTAGTCATTCCTTTCTCCTTGATTTTATTCGCTTCCCATTCAAATAAGTGCTGTTTGTTTTGGTATTTTTTTTTTTTTAAAAGAGAAACGTTGTCGTTCTGTTCTGTTAATTGAATCTTACTATACATATAGCTCATGTATAGACCACATATCTGTAATATGCATAATACATGTATATGTAAATATATAATACATATATAAGAATATGTGAGGCTAAATTATAGAATGGTTTGGGTTGGAAGGGACCTTAAAGACCATGTAGTTCCAACCCCCCTGCCCCTTCCCCCAGCCCAGGGGGCTCCCAGCCCCGTCCAACCTGGCCTTGAACCCTTCCAGGGAGGGGGCAGCCACAGCTCTGGGCACCCTGGGCCAGTGTAGTCAACATACAAGCGTTGAGCCTCCGTGCTCCTTTTTTCAGCCCCCTTGAGCTACGCCAATACACTCTTTAGCTCATTCCATTCCAACTAGTCAACGTACTCGCCAGTGATGTAACTAGTATCATCTAACCGTGGAACCACAGCATCTGAATGCCTCTCTCTGTGCAGATACTAACCAAGAACCACTTCCTCTTTCTCATCAAATTCTCGTCCCTTCACCACTTTTGTGCCTTCTCCCTAAAAGGAAGAAGTCACAAGTCTTCCAACGTAGTCTTCCCCTCCTTCTCTCTTCGAGGAGGAGGAGTCAGGTCCTAAACTTAAGAGTTCTTAGAAGCTAACTCCCACTGGCACTGAGCTGAAATATATCAAAATTGGCAGGTGAGCATGGGCTACTTGTAGAAGTTGAAGTCTTGCAGTTTTAGGCAGCTTAGTACAAGAGGTCTAGCGATAGCTCTGTCAGAAATACATGGGTCTGCCTTCCTGCTGTGGCCATGGAGAAAATGGGGATTGACCAACACTGTAAGGAATGAGTCACCTACAGATCTCATTCTGCTTCTCATTTATTTCATGACCACTTTTGTAATTCCTTTCACTTCCCAAATTTGAAGATATCTCCATTATTAGAAATGGGAATTTATTCCTCTATTCTGGAGCATTTTCATACATTTGTACTTTAATAATGTGTTTTCTTTGCAAAGTGATTCAGTGACCTCCAATTACCAAGCACGCTCTATGGTTAGAAGCAAGACAATTCCACATTCTAATTGAGCCCTTCACTTGTTCAGCTGAAGGCAAATCTTCCAAACTTCCTTAATTAAATTGTCCTCCTACACTGTTCTGAAGTGCATAACCTCAGCTTTTCCCTCTCATCTTAGAGCCTGTTCTTCCTAAACAGAACAGGCCCCCAGCAACATTTTCTCTTGTCTGTGCCTTTTCTGCACTGGTGTAAATTCCACTATATTAAACCTCTAGTCTTTCAAAAGACAGTTTATGCACCTTCTACAATACAATTCCCAAACTTGTAAAGGTTCTTCTTTATATCAGATGAAACGTGTTTTTTCTTTAACCCATGTCTAAATTCACTAGCATTAAAACTGTTAACTGCACATCCTACAATTTGGTGTCCCTATCGCCTTAAAACTCAGCTTTAAACACTATATTAAAATCGGCATTGTAGGATTCAGTGTGTTTGTGTCTCACCTCTACTTAATTTCACTAGTCAACTGAAGTGGAATTAGAGGAAAGGTCCGCACATAGACAAACAGCTAGGAAAAGAGAGAAGGACAGAAATAAATGTTTACAATGAAGTCTAGAAAATTCCTGTGCTTGTGCCTGCTTTGCTCAGCACACGCACCAATGAAGTAGAAAAGAAGACAAACAGGGAGGCAAAGCATTTTTTAACTACATTGATCAGTCAGGGTAATTAAGATAACAGGTCATTGTACAGGGCTGCAGAAGATCTCAAGGTCAGTACACTTTCTGGCCAGGTAGTGAGTTTGAGCAGCCATTCCAGACAAATGTGAAATGAAGTGCATGAGTGGGAAAGGAGGGGGAATGATTATTTGTTGTTAACGTACACAGTGATGGAGACAGAGTAAATACATCTATGAAAACGTCAGTTTGATGCAGCAGCAGCCCAAAAGCAAGTCAGCTGTTAAAGAGCTGGAAGAAAGGAGAAGAATAAAATAAATACCACCCTTCTCCTACACTATAAAGCTATGGTGCACTCATGTTCCAGTTTTGCTCCCCTTCAGCATCTCAAAAAGGATGAGGTAGACAGGGTACGCTGAAGGACAGCAAGTCTGATCAATCATATAAGGCAGTTCTGATCAGAGAACAAATAAACAGAGCAGGATTTTTCAGTGGGAGAACGAGAGGAGTAGAGGGAAGACATTCTGATAGAAATAAGGAATGGAAACGGTGGGGACATCCTATGATAGTGCCTAAAATAGGAATCTATAAAACCAGGAGTGGCTCAGGAAGTTCCTGAGGAGACAGTTGCTGGAGATGGGATAGGTTCAAATCAGGTGCCCAAAGGGGCATTTGCGATGTCCCTGGGGATCCCACCTGGCATTCAGGACAGCACAAGGCATTTGCCAGCCCCGCGAGGACGTCTCAAGTAGCCTAGGGCACCTGAAATCGCTCTAAAGGTCCGTACTTGGGCAACGAAAGAAGCCACTTGGCAGGGAGCTGGCACCACTAGCTGCTGGCAGGACAGACAAGCTGACAATTCTGAGGTTAAGCCGCGTGTCACACAGTGGATGCAGAGGCCACAGTCACGCAGCCTCGCTCTTGCTGGGACTGAGCTGGTTCACCCATTTCTTCGCGGCGATGCGCTTCCTAACGCAGACCCAGCACAAAGCGAAACATTATCACTACTGAAAAGAAAGCTTCTGGTGTTTGTCTCAATGGAAACCTCATCTGAAGGTGGCGTGGTTGCAGACATGGCTGGATGTATGCAGAATGATGATATTAGAAAAGAGAGAGCTCAATCATGGGTTGAGTTTTTACAGCTAGCTGGTAGGTAAAAATTTCTCCCATGTTTTTAATACTAGTATGTTTTGCACGGAAATCAAAGATACAGAAGCCACAGGACTTCAAAATGTCGTTTTTGAGAGAAAAGCTTTTTTTAAAATTACTTTTTGTTGTCAGTAAATCAAAGTAGCACAATATATCACATTTCCTGTAATTCTGGAGAAAACTATGATTAAAAAGGTCTAGCAATAGTTATCTTTCCTTTTTCTCCCTTCTGCAGTATTCTCACCAACCAAGAATTTTACATGCTGATGCTATTCAAAAAGTTGCCACAAACACAGATGTTTCTGAAATGTGGGAGAATGATTTGCGCCCTATCCTGAGAGAAAGATACCCAGGATCACCAGGAAATTATATTGTACGACAGGTAAGACGACATTTCCTGAAAACCCCTAAGAACATCTACCACTTACATTCTGGTAGTGCCTTTAGTGACCGCTAAAGGGACGGACACGTTCCTTTCATTCGGTAGGATGAACTCTATCATTGGTCAAGTCTAGACTGCATGGAGCCTGCGTGACACAGCTTGCACTGTAGCTGACATTATTTCCCAGGGCTGCATAGCATGATGAAATAAAAAAAAAAATAATAATATGTGGTTTTAAATGTATGTTTTAAAAAGCTCGCCTCAGGTTTGGTACCTAAAATACAACACGACTGCTGTGCTTTCCCTCACACGAGCAGGTTTTTGGTCATTGGTTCAAACCCCCCTGGGACCATACGTGGGGATGAAATAAATTACACGCACATCCCTCCCAGCCTTTTTCTGGAGAGGTCCTGTGCTGTTACACTCCCCTGTAGCGTTGCCTCGGATGGGTGCATCAACACAAAAAAGGTATCAGAGGGGCACGAACAGGCAGGCAGGTGAACTGGTCAACATGATGAAGGGCAGCACTGAAACAGTGGTAGAGCTGAGTTTGGTGGGAGACGTTCCTAACAGCTCACTAGCCTTCATCTACCCGTCAGGCAGGGACTCAGCAGCTCCAAGGTGGCCCGAGCTACAATAAGTTTATTTGCCACTCTGCAATTGGTAGACTGGAAAAATGCAGCTTTTTTTATGCTGTGTGCGTGCGCATGTGTCTGTAGATTTAGTTTTGTGGTTTCTCTAGCGATACCCTGGAAGGCAGCCAAATTAAAGGGGGAAAAAGTAAGAAAAACAAACAAACAAACAAACAAAAAAAACAGCTGAGCCTAGGCTAGAAAACAACAAATCACATTCAAAATAGGATCATCCTGTTACAAGGTAACAGCATGCACTGAAGTAGACCCCCACCAAAGAGAAGAAAGAAGAATCCTCCACTGTCAAAGCACAATGGGTGTTTGAAATGGAGGACATTTCCTTGTTAAGACACAGAAGCAGCATCATACTCCTTTGACGGAGAAGGTTAGTGCCAGTCACGGCTAACGCACACTGGGAACTCCATCCAGGTTTATATATTCCCCTTAATCCGTAACAGACGTCCTTTGCTCTGCCTACAGAGAGCAGATACACCATACAACCCCATAAAAACTTTCAGAGGGTGACCACAAACAAAATGGCAGTTTGTTCCAGCGCTAAACATTTATGGCAGTATTCCCACTGACTTCACTAAGAGCAGGACGAGTCTTCAAAGTCTATTTTCTTTTTTCCCCTTAGAGGCTTTTCCTAATGTTTATTTAAAGAGAGAGGAATCTGCCTTGAAGCAGCACTCTAGGGACCCATAAAAATAAGTTGCTCAACAGAGATGGCCCTCTAGTAGGAGCCAGCCAGAACTCTGTACTAAGTGTAACTGGGGCTGTTAGAGGTATTCCCTTTAGGTAGGAAAACGCCTAAAATGAATGATCTCGTTTATAGATTCACTATCTTAATTTTTATCTTTACATGAGCTACACTTACAGGATTTCATTTTTAAAACATTGTTCTGAGATGTTTAATTCTTTTAATTTACAGGAATCAGATTGTCTCTTACAGCCTTATAAACAACTTATATCACTCAAAAGGCAGATTTCTCATAGAAGCTAAAAAAAACCCCACACCAAACAAACAAACACCTCAGCATTTATTCTATACTGCCATGGCATCTGTGTGTGGTAAGTGTGGAAACAGTCACACCGTGTTCCCTGCAGCCACTTCTGACATTTAATTTAAGGGCACAACTATGTTTAGATTTGAAGAGGTAAACATTAAATCTGTCCTGGTTACACCTGAAAAAAACATTGGCCTGGAAACTTCAGAGAGCAAGATCTTAATATGTCATGTTAATGAGCAATCGTTCAAATCACCTTCAGACTCCAAAGACAAGAGGCAAAAGTGAGGAATGAAAAGCAAGTGAGCCAGTCAAAGGCTAAGGTAGCAAAGATGTTTCTTATTTTATATAGTGACATTACATTTTTTGCTATAAAATTTATCATGGCATTTAAAAATGCCATGAACTTGCAGAAATAAGCTTAAGTGCCACTATTAATTAGCTAATGACAATCCGTCTGCAGCATCTTTATGAAGCAAACAATATTAATCTGATTTTTTTTTTTTTTTTTAATTGCAGCATATCAAGCACCGCCTTCAAAGATTACAGGCTGGTTGGGAAATTGAAGAAGATACATTTCAGAGATACACACCATACGGCTACCAAACATTTTCAAATATTATCAGCACTCTTGACCCTTCTGCAAAACGCCACCTAGTACTTGCTTGCCACTATGACTCAAAATTCTTTGGACAACAATGGCAGGAGAGAGTATTTGTAGGAGCAACTGATTCAGCCGTGCCTTGTGCTATGATACTGGAGCTGGCACGTGCCCTGGATAACAAGCTTCAGTTAATCAAGGTAGCTTGGTTGTTTCATTTTCATTTATTTTTGCAACATTTTGGGCACTTCCATGTTCCTTCCCGTAGCCTGCATGCCTGGTTCCGAGCGCTGAGCCCGTAGTAAAACGCCCACTGACTTCAAGAAGGACAGAACAGAGAGCTGTATCTACTGCTTCGGAGTACGTTACCACATAAAAACTTCTTATGCAAAGAGTGGCCGTCTAAAAATGATCCAATAAAAATATACTATCTAAAAATAGCAATTTATGTATGAATAATACATGTTTCATAGACTCAGTGAGATATAATCCTGCTTTCCATCTAAAAGGCACAGAACCCTATCGTATCCAGAAACATCCAGGGTGACTGACAAAGTTTTGTTGCTTGCTGAATCCTACATTTTTAAAATCTCCCAGTTGTATTCTGTTTTGGGAGACGGATGAACTAATGGCTCTGCAGGAGAGTTACACTCGCATCCCTCCATCCCATAACGATTTCAAGCTTTTCTTCTTGTTTTCCTTTAGCAGTTTGACTAGTTTATTTATGAAACAAGTAATGGCTGAGCACAGGAAAACGGTAAAGTGATAGTAGGATACTATCAGTCCGTGTTACCTATGCTATGAAAATCTGCTTCAAAGTGCTGCTGCCATTGCTAGGCACAAAAATCTGTGGATCCTACAAACCGAAAGCTTGCAGGATTACAGATTCATGAATGCCATCTAGTGGTTCAGCATTTCCTATTTAGAGAATACTTGTCATACACTAACAGAGCTTTCATGGGAAAAGGTCTCCCAAATGCTTTACGAAGTGTCGGGAATGTACTCAACTTGGGTATGAAGATCACTTGGCAGAAACTCTTCCCAGAAACTGATTTAGTGCCTTCTGACATTAGAATATTTAAGAATTAGAAGATTAAGACTACACCACTGGTTTTAATCACAAAACAAAGGGCTCCTGTAATACACACGCTTTCGTTTAGGAGCTTCATTTAGAATAAATTTGCCCGGTGGTTAATTTATGGAACAACCTGGACACCAACTTAAAGACTGGAATTTTCTGCAAGTAATAAAACAATTTAATCAAAGAATTATGCATCATGTAAGGTTACAGCATTTGACAAAAGGCAATCTGATTACTTTGCACAGGTTACCATTTGTACAGTCTGTTAACAAAATATACCTTGGGATCCATCTGCTTAATACATTAGCTATGCCCTTTTTTGCTCTGCTCGTAGTAGCGTAACAGACTTCGTTATGTTTTCAGCCAAATCTATTTATACTGTTGACTTGAAGCCGTGATTTTTATCTTGATGTTTCTCCAGGTATATAGACTAAGTTTAGAACTAAAGGGCAAAGACACCTCTCTAAATTATTCAGACCTGGGAATGTGCTGAACAGCAATAATAATACAAATACTACTTTTTAGAATTCAAATGGCATTAACAGTTTCCTCCGGAATGTAATGGAAAATGACTGTTATCAGAAGAGCTCTGTCCTGTGCAAAGAACAAAGGTCAGCAAAGCAGTGCCACTGCAGAAATCCATACACCACTGTGAGCATAATCAATACAGTCTTGCCGGCGCGAGCGACATTTTATAGAAGTTTTCCACTATTGTTTGTGTTGGATCAGCTCCAGCCGGTTGAGTTGCAGCCCATACAGGACACGACCGGTGCCAGCGACCCCGCCTTTTTAACCACATCGTGGAATTTCTCTTCAAGTTGCATTAATTCATCGAGGGGTTAAAATATTTATAGCAACTGCCAAGACTGCGGTTCCCAAAACCGTTCCCGTAGCAGAACCAAACTGGGTTTAGCTGTGTTGTAGGTTATTAGAAAATGCTGCCAGTGCAAACAAGGCTTCGATCAGTAAACAGAGAGAGAGAAAAGGCTCCTTCTACACGGAAGAAATTTCACACAGATGTCTCCTCTCTGACCTTCAATACATTAAGCATACCTATTCTCAGTTTCTACTGCTGTGATATTTTTGGTTGTTGAAAGGAAAGGGTGCAGGTACTCCACCCTCTGTGCTTTGACCTTAGGGTAAAATTGCCTTGGTGGTTGCGAGTCCCCCTGAAGGAAAAGGAATGGTCATTCTTCTCGTGCCTGACTGCTCTTCGTCCCTCAGAGAGCCATCAACTTGACAAATACATAATTCACCCCCATCGATGCACAACCGCCGCAGAGATACTCCTTCCCTGTGGCACTCTCGAGTAACAGTACTAGCACTCGTACCGGGTGTTGTTCCTGACATGTCTCCTCCTCACTTGAGAGGTTTTTGCTACCTGGTTTTGCAGGCCTGTCTCAACACACTCAATGCGTGCCCGCTGAGGGCAGAAATGAAACTTAACCAGCAGCAAAATGATACCAGACTGGAGAACGTGTCACTGTGCTAAATAAAAAATAGTGACTGACCGCTACCGCTATTACACCATAACGTGTTTTAACAGCCACAGGAAGGCTTGCACAGGGTACCTTGAAAATATACCTACTGATGTTGCTGATATGACTACACTACTTATGCTTTATTGAATGTTCTGGCCAGAATCAGTTATGTTACTTTTAACTTCCTCCAACAGAGCAGCTCAACATCAAGACCAGACCTGTCGCTTCAGCTCATTTTTTTTGACGGTGAAGAAGCCTTCGTCCGGTGGTCCCCTTCTGATTCCCTCTATGGATCTCAACACTTAGCTCAAAAAATGGTATCTACTCCCCATCCACCTGGTTCAGCAACCACCAATCAGCTGCAGGGCATAGTAAGTGGTTTTCACCTCCCTAACGAGTAATAGTAAGTTGCATTTTAAAAATATTTAATTGGCCAAATTGCCAAGAAACCATGAACTCCACCAAAGTTAAGGGAAGACCCAGGCTTGTGGAAATGTTGAGATGCGATTAAACAGAGAGTTGGCAAGAGCTTTTCAGGTAAATCTGCTTAGACCTTCTCCATGCAAGTATGAAGAGTTGTCATAGAAAAATCAAAATACACAAATTTCGTAGACTATACACTAGGATCTCCACCTTCTTCAAGAGAGGTAATTCGAAGTGATTAGGAAGGAGCACAGACACGGTATCAATGAACAAACGTCTCCTAGCTCAGTGTTAAGCTCTCTGTTACCCTCTGATTCCTACAAACATTCTGGTGGTTTGCTCCCTCCTTCCTACTGCCTTCTAGTTTCCCTGCTCACTGCTGAGACGCTTTTCTTCTGTCACCGTATCTTGTGACTCATAAAATGTCTTTCCCTTGACAGACTTTGTTGTTCTCCGGGGAAGAAGCAATTTCCTCTTCTTTCTCCCCACCTACTGCAGTTTTGCTTTTAAAGGGATAGAACACACAAACTGCAAACAAAGTGAGGCAGTCTGCTTCAGCCCGAGGAGCAGAGAAACGGCCCACCTTCTTCCTTCTCGAAAAAGACAGCACCAAGGCATCCGATTAGAACCAGGTTTTGCTACTGAGTCCTTCTCAGGCACCATGGTCGAAAAGCCAGACCTTTGGCCAGAGCTAGTCGTGACCGATACAGGAACCACAAGGTTTCACTGCTGCTGCTGTTGATGGTTTTGTAGCTTTGTAATAAAGAATTCGGTATTAAAGACTCTTTCTTCTGCAGGACCTGCTTGTACTACTGGATTTAATTGGGGCACCAAACCCAGTCTTTCCCAATTATTTTCCCAACACTGTTCGATGGTTTCAGAGGCTTCAAGCAATTGGTAAGGAGAGGGGTATGGGCTTTCGATGAATTTGAAAATTCAGTGTGTAGTTTCTGGATGTATTAAATCCTGTAAATCAGATTTTTAGATTACTTCTCTGTTTTACAGTTCTAGTATTTAATAACGTAAATGCTCGATTTGGTGCGTCTTAAACCTATACAAGGGTTGTAATATTTAATTAATAAAATAACTCAGGAAGATTCCCAGACACTTGGAAGCCGTGAAACAGATTCTATTGCTGATTGTCACTCTGCAGCTCTTGGGAACTGCCTCACTAATGTGTCTGAGTTCACACTTCTGTATAATGACAGTAATAGCATCAATCTTGAGGTCTTCTAAGTACTGAACAAATGCAAAAGACGGTCACCAACTCCTTTTTTTTTTTTTTTTTTTAATATTCTTTGATGGAAAAATCTTCCATGCGAGAGCAAAAATAATTCAAATGTGTTAACATGCCTCATATTGTCCAAAAGTTGTAATAATCACTTCCATTGTGAATTCCAGAGCAAGAGCTACACAACATGAATCTGCTGAAGAATCACCTTGTTGAAAGGCAGTATTTCCAGACTACCGCACATCGAGGCTTGGTTGAAGATGACCATGTTCCATTTTTATTAAGAGGTACCAGAAACTTTTATATTTTAAAGTTCAATAGCAAACGCATCATTTAGTGAAGGAGCAAGTGCACGTGACTTTGTTTTTCAAGCTTCTTTGCTCCGACTTTAGGCTTCCAAATCCAACTTTATGCAGGGCAAGAGTCACAGCTTTGAAAAACATACCCAAACAAAGGCAGCGATAAAACATACCCATCATCATTTTGCAGGAGCACAGCTCCAGTGGCACAGAGGTAACAGGAGCTTCTGTCACCAGTGGTGTCCCACAAAGATAAGCAATTCCGATCCAGTGGGGTATCTCTACGTACCACACTAGCCAGCTAGTTACTATTTCTAGAAACAGAGAAACACTCGAGGGTTGTATCGTCAAAGACTACAAAAATCTCTCAAGACCTGTTGTCAAAGCTCAAGTAATGCTCACTATCACCTATTTAAATTTGAAGGCACTGACTCCTGCAGTAACCCACACGCTCAGATTAGACATCCGCACTCCCTAAAGAGAATGGAGGTTTCACAGCTGTCAGCACGAGGGCTGGGAAAGGTGCACAGGCCAGCAGAAACAGCAAAAACCACAATAAGCCTGAAATCCCTCCTGGACTTAGGCACATGCCTGAAGCTGGGATTCCCTACCTAAGCATTCATCCTGGCAGACACCTATGCCATCGCCTCCGACTCCGTGTTTGTTCTGTTCCTCTGGGACACGATCAAAGAAAGGGAAAGCGGTTGTACTACTGCTGCCCCCTTGTCAGGCCACGGGTCAGTGAGTAGAGCACCTGTCCAGGTCCAAGATGTGGATCTGACGTCCTTCTTGGTTCAAACACTCAGCAGAGCATCTTCAAAACTAAGGTGGGCCAAAGAAGGGTAGTAGGTAGAGTAAATTCCTCTGATTGAAGTTTTCCACTCTACAGCAAGGACTACAAGAGTCATATTGCAAGAGAAGGCTTAACCAAAAAGGAATGTAACACTGGGCCAGTGAAGAGGGTACCTACCTAGGAAAGGAGGGAGGTATCTTCATATCCAGCCCCTAATTTTACCACTGCTTATGCTCTATTAACTACTGAGTAACGTAAAATGCACACACATCTCGCGATGTTTTACTCCTCTTTTACCTAAAAGTTGCAGTATATATGGGTGGCTTGAGATACTTACATATATATATATATATTTTTATATATATATTTATATACATATATATATATAGGTGGCTTGAGGTACTTTTATATATATTTTTTATATATATATTTATATACATATATATAGGTGGCTTGAGATACTTTTAAATATATTTTTATATATATATTTATATACATATATAGGTGGCTTGAGATACTTTTTAATATATTTTATATATATATTTATATACATATATATAGGTGGCTTGAGATACTTTATATATTTTATATATATATTTATATACATATATATATAGGTGGCTTGAGATACTTTTTTATATATATATATATATATATGTATGGCGATACAGATTCTTTCAAGTAGAAGTTCTTTAATCTGAGTATAGCTGGTTCTATTTTACGGACTAAAAATACAAACACCCTATTTTACCATTTATGGAGAGGACTAAAATATGCTTCAAAAAGCGCTCAGTCTTAACACTGTCACAAGAACACGGTCACGAGTTTTCAGTTTGTGGAGCTGCAGCGGTTTCTCTGCCCTTCTGTAGCTCCTAAACCCAGTAACAACAACTACGATGCAAAGGATCTCTAAACAAGGCGGGGGGAAAAAAAGCAAGTATCACAGTAAAACTGCTAACTACAGCTGCCTTAAAAAAAAAAAAAAAAAAAAAGAGGGAAAAGTACTTAAAGGAAAGGAAGGTGCCAGTTTTAGGAAAGAGAGTGAAATGGATGAGCTGCAGTCACAAGCTTCATAAAAAGTACACAGAAGCTGCAGTGACACAAAATCCTCTAAAAAGCTTATTGAGTAGTTACCTGACAGTTGCTAAATGGCAGCACATCAACTGGCTTAACAGAACTTCTCCAATATTTTTTCTCCAAATTTCACTTTCCTCCTTATAGGGGTTCCGGTCCTACATCTGATTCCATCCCCTTTTCCTGCAGTATGGCATACCATGGAGGACAGCGAAGAAAACCTCGACAAAACCACTATTGATAACCTCAGCAAAATCCTGCAAGTGTTTGTGCTGGAATATCTAAATCTGTGATAGACAAAATGGCAACAAATCGTACTCCGTTCTAATTGCTGCTTGCCCACCTTCACATTTACTATTTAATTGCATTGGAAAGCACTAAAGCAAGCAAAATACAAGGATAGCTCTTGCCAGACTTGATTATTGATTCAGCTGTTCCTGACCCAATGTTCCATGTAGCCAAATAAGAGCATTAAGTAAGAATTAGCTTCAGCCTGGAAAGAATTTGATCTTTCCATGTCTTACCTCTGAATAAAAAAAAAAAACCCCAGAATTCTTCCGGATTGTCATCACTGTTTTATGTCACACATTAAGATCCCAGGAGGGCACGCCTCCCGATTTAAGTGTTGGCTTTTACAAAGGGGTGAGCAACTTCTGCAGTGTTCAGCAATGGAAATTCGTACCACATTCTTGAAAGCGGCACAAGGCATACTAAACCAAACTTCTGCTTTGGGTTGAGCTGTACCACCTCACCCTAAAACGAGCTGCCAGAACTCCTGACACACAGAAGGGACTTTTAATCCTCTCTGCTCCTTCTCCTCCTCCCCCCTTAAGGAGGGCTGTAAGGGCTCTGTGTCTGCAGACAACAGGCCACCAGGACACAAGAAAAAGAACCCAAATGCCATTTTTTTCCATGTTGTTTGTTGGATACTTTTGGACAGAGAAGGGTGGTGGGGAGTGATGGTAGGAGGTAGGTATGTGGGCGTTTCCACCATGCTTTGACTGTGTCCTGGTTCAGGCTGGACCAGAGTTCCTGTTGGTTTGGTAGCTGGAGGAGCGCTGCAGCACCCTGCGAAAAATGTGAAGGGAAGAGGAGGTGGTGTGTGGGAGCAATGCCCCAGCGCACACCATTCATTCAGGTGAGAATCATCCAGTCTGGCCCAAAAGGGAAAAATGATACCTGCTGTCTTTAATAGAGATTACAACAGAAGTAATCATACTGGGGAAGCAATCGCTTTAGAAACCGTAGTTATATATAATTTTAATGGCAAAGCGCTACCTATCAAGAGTAAAATAAGTATCAGAGTAAGAAACAAGGAAGGAATTTAAGCACCAAAAAGCATGGCCAAGCCATAGCCTGTATCAGAAAAAGATACCAGTTTATCAGCCCTGTGTTTTTACATTCCTTACTGGAAGTATTCAATAAATTGTAGTATAATACTCTGGCAAAAATCTAGCCTGGAACAAAATCAAGGAAAAGCTGGAAGAGTATTCAAAAGCTACCTACAGAATTATAGTTTCTACTGGCAAGAAAAAGATGAGAGCATTTGAAAAATAAAAATATAAAAAAAATCAAGCTGGTGGAGGATGAACTGAGAAAACCCAAGCCAGTATTTTACTGGCTCCACGCTTCTTCCATTAGAAAGTTCTATCGTAGGCAAAGAGATTTAAAAAGGAAATAAGCTGTGGAGTTGTCGGCATGCCAGAGTTGCCCTGCATTCTACCCTTTTCCTAAAGCAAACATTTCTGAACCTAAGACAATATTTACATACATATTTTAAAGTCACAACAGAAATAGGTATTTACAGCAATGCAAATGTGTAAAATTTTACTATTCCAGGAGAGTCTGAAAATGAATTTCAACCTGGTTTTGTTGCTCAAGATGAAACAACAGCATTTTATGTTTGGCCATCACTTTAATATTTGTAAGAAACGCTTCTATTCTGCATGCACATTCTGGAATAGAATACAATGAAATTTCTGAAAATTGGACAGGTGTTTATTTTCAGATATTACTGTACATCTGTGTAAATACACCAAAAAGCTATTTGAACTCTGTCGTCCTCTCCTCTACTTCAGCCTGTGAGAAAACATTCTAAACAACCAAATTAGATCTGTTGAAGTTCGAATACTCTGAGCAGTATAAGGCACCTACTGCACCCTCCTAAGTGGTGGAAAGAGGTAACAAAATGGCTAGATGCAGAAATATTAAACATGAGTTTGCGTGGCTAGTTCCATTTTTACAGGTGAACTCTTGTGGTACTTAATACTCTGCAGGGCCTCTGAAAAATGCAGTATGCGTTTGCAGTGCACACTGCTACTCTGCTCCTTCAAGAATTTGAAGCTTAAAACAGGCTTCGTTATGAAATGTGGGACCAGAGAGGTGTCATAACTGGGAAAAGCCTAATTTTTTGAAATCTCAAGTTAGTTGAAACCATAATTTAACCATGTAGTACATCAAACCTCTGGCATGTCCATTTTGTCTCCAATTTCTCTGCCTTGAGTTACGTTTACTCGGTTCAGAGAACTGAGAGACATGTGGGTGTAATACGATTCAGTGGTTCTCAAATCACGAAGGAAACACGAAGAGGCTTCCTTTTTTTATTTTCCTTTGGGTTTTGGGGTTCGGTTTGGTACAGGAAAATCAGGCCATCTCTTAACTGGATGTGAGCCCTGGATAGGGTTTACTCGAAGAGAGAAGGGCTCATCATCTTAGCAATTTATGGGATCCATCACTCATTAAAAAAATAAGCGCTGGAAGGAAAACTCACATCAGGCCAGTAACCACGTGAATCCAAGAATCCAAGCTCCCAAGAGCACAAGAAGTCAAAGTAGTCAGTAAAGCAAAGACATGGTGCAAAGTGGGTTCTCACTGCTACAAAGGCAGAGGACAACAAGCACGTTAGGAGAAAGTCTAGCCATTTGATAAAATACCCAGAAAACAAAAAATGCAAGTGAAAAGGTCAGGACTGGCATCTCTTCCTCTCTCCGCTCCAACACTGAGTATCACTGTGCACCCAGTTCCGCAGGATCCGGCCACTCACAGCACAGATAGCCACTCCAGGATTCAGAGACAGGCTTTACACTGAAGAACCTACCACTGGATAGTTCCTCTGTCCCTGTTGGATGGTGGCAGCAGGGGACAGAAATCAACCCAGGGACTTCAACAAGTCTAATAATTACACAAATCAGCTGAATTGCTGCACAGGTTCTCTCCCTGAATAGGATTTGTCACATCTCAGTCGAGGGGGAAAAAAATGAAAATAATCAATCTCCCACCCACGAGAGGCTGTCACAGGCTTGTCAGAGTCTTCCCAAACGTGTACGTGGTTATTACCTGGGTGAAGGGAACGCAGAACAGCACGAACTCAATAGTTAAAGCTGCAAAAAACCCCTCACGTTACATTTGTTATCTGTATTGCAGTAGGCGCTCTCGCTCCTTTTCTATCAGGACAAAGCAGTTTTTCACAAGAGCCTTAAGCCTCAGTAATGGTACATGCCCTCAAGTTCTGCACAGCTTGATGCATTTACCTCCCAGTGAATGTGATCCTGTGCAATCACAGCTGGAACAAGCTAAGGGAAGAAAAATGCCAAATCCTCTGGCAGACAGAAACAATAGCAAGTACCAGCCCTCTCTTTTTCTCTAGGGGGGGCAGCATCCCCATCACTAGGAATGAAGACGATATAAAGTAGCAATGCCCATTCACCACATTTCAGATAAACATTGAGATTGTGACCACCTACCAGCAAAATACAATTAGAAAAGACAAAATGCAGTAAAAATGCTTCCCGTTGAATTCTTACAAGGACCCAGTCTACGCTGTGAGCAAACCCAGCAGAACAGTTCTGAAGTTTCACGCTCATTGAAACGGATGTATCGCCCGAGAGCATCACTTAAACAATCAATATATATAAAAAGATAATTAAAAAATCTTGTACACAAATTACCACTTTTTTCCTTGTCATTTAAGGATGACGCTGATTTTATTTTCCTCGTATAAAAGGAGACATTTTACCCTGTGCTGATTTAACAAATACTCTTAATATATTCATAAGAATAAAGCAGCTAGAAAGCTGTTCTAATCTCTAAAAGAATCTTTATCATCTGCACATATGTATATATTGTAAACAATCACTCCAAAAAATAATTTTGTTAAAGTGATTATATTGCACTCAGAATTCTGGGATTCTCGTTTTCCCTTCTCAGTTTAAATCAAAGATCAGCTTAATTTTTCAGTAAAATGGAGCTTTAATTTTCTGCTGAAAACAAGGAGGCATGCAATCAATATAATACAACGTATTTAAAATGTCAGAAAAAGGGCAAGTGTTTGGTTATGAAACTTGAATAAGGAACAATTCTCAAATAGGCCACACGAGAGTAGTATCTTGTAAACATTCTGCTGGCTCTAAGGTGTTGCAGATGCTGTAGAGAGCACAGTCTAGTTCAGCACCCAGAGGTACAGAGAATCTGTCCAAGTGCTCTGTACTTCAGTGAATTTCCACGCAGCAACGGCACGTGTGAGAGACTACAACACATAAAGAGGGTAATGAAACAAAGGCGATTCCTGAGCTCATACTGACCTCACAGAAACAAAGCCAATCATTGTAACTTCACTGGGATCTTTAAATGCAAGTTTTTCCAGGTCATTACATCTTCTAACACAGTCGTGAAACCGTTACTCTTGCTGCAAATGAAGTACAGAACTAGATTCCCTACTTGAAGCTTACACGGACTGTACACCCGCGGCGGTCTGGACACTACTCTCAGCCTAAAACATCCCAGCAAGATGCCAACATTGTGCAGAACATCACCTTACTTTGTTTGCAAGAGTGACACCCTCCTCTGTGCACTGCAGCAAGAAACACAGGTAGTGGAGGGGGGGGGGGGGGGAAATAAAATAAAATAAAAAAAAAGGAGGAAAGCAATATTCTTACGCAGAAAAAGAAATCCTCAGCCAGTGTGAAGAGGCCACGGATCTTTAAAATTCAAATGAAGGCTGTTTTCTCAACTCAGTTCTACAAGAGAAAGATTTTGCTGTCAAACCCATTATTCTTCAGGTAGCAGAATATCTTTGGAGTCCCTGAGATACTACAGCTCCATCTAACCACCTTGGACAAATGGAAACGCTTACTTAGGATACAGTTTAACAAGGTGGACGTCAATAAATAGCACCCTGAGTTGCAAGTGAAACAAGAGGAATGGGCAACCCAGTCCTCAACAGCCAAGAGATGCAGAAGAAAGTGCAGAGGAGGTATTGGCTAGGAAATTAATTATCAGATACACACTGCACAGAAGACCAGGAAAAAAAAAAAAAAAAAAGAAATTTTTCTGAAGGGCCTTTCTCTCTTATCAGAGCAGTGAAGTAAGAGACAGTAGTCAGAAGGAAAGGCTGTCTGAGAAAGGCCCTGAAGAAATACGGCCTTTGAGATGTGCAGTAGAATGATAATGCAAAAGCAGAGACAAGTCAGGCAGTCTTGTTCTAAGCACGCCCCAAAGGTTAAGCACTCTAGCAATGACTTAAGAACTGTCAGTGATCACTGACCTGTACACTC